ATATTAACTAAGAGAATGCATATCTATGGAATAAGAGGACATACACTTGCATGGTTTCGATCTTATCTTACAAATAGGACTCAAATCTGCAAGGTCAACCAAGCAATGTCTGAGGCAAGGACTGTTAAATGTGGCATACCTCAAGGTTCAAACCTAGGCCCACTGCTGTTCTTGCTTTATATAAATGACCTACCAAATTGTCTGAGTCTGTCTTCAGCAAGCATGTTTGCTGATGACACAAACATTTCAACTCACTGTGATACTGGCAATGAAATACAAGAACGCTTAAACGCAGACTTAGAAAATGTGCATCAATGGCTACTTGCAAACAAACTTACACTCAACAAACAAAAAACTGAATATATGATTATCGGCTCACGACAACGTATATCAAATAAAATAGGGGATCCTAAAATTGAACTCGGTGAGTCAGAAATTAAACGTGTTCATAAATCAAAAACTTTAGGAGTCATTACTGACAAGCGTCTTTCATGGGTCGATCAAATTCAAAATACTGTAACGAAAGTTTCAAAAGGAATAGGTATAATGCGAAGAATGAAACAGTTTGTTCCCAAATCAACATTATTGAAAATCTACAATGCCATTGTGTTGTCACACTTTGATTATTGTAGCTTGGTATGGGGCAACTGTTGTGAATATCTAATTGATAAACTTCAAAAATTACAAAATAGAGCAGCGTGAATTATCACTGGTAGCACATATGATGTAAGTTCTGAGAACGTTTTAAAAGAGTTAAACTGGCAACCCCTTAAAAATCGATACAAAAACAATAAGACGAGCTTCTTGCATAAACTAAGAAATGACGCACTGCCATCGTCTTTAACAAACATGTTCAAAATTGCAAATAATGATAGGTATAACTTGCGAAGTAATGATAACAACTATACACTTGAAAAGCCGGAAACAAACTTTATGAAAAAGAGCTTTAGTTACTCTGCTGCATCACTTTGGAACAGCTTGCCCACTGCAGCTAAAGAAAAAGGGATTGGTTTAAACAAATTTAAATGTATTCTTGACGGTACATGATTTCAGTGCTATACATATACTTGTTTGTTAATATTTTTATCTCAGCTTTAATATGTGTGTAATATTATATTAGGAAATTTTATTAGTGTGATGCATGTAAACGGCCCCTTGAAAAGCAGGTGTATATTTGAGCCCTGAAGGGTTACCGTTTTAAAATATTTTTAAATAATAATAATAATAAAAAAATAATCAACACATAATCCAACCTCACATAATCAACAATTGCATAACTATTATACTGTTGAACACAGCATTTTATACACTATAACGCTACGGCTAGCATTCGTTAAAAAATCACTACGTTTGTTAGTAATGTGTTAAACTTTATATAATGGAGTGGTATCAACTACAGATCACTACGCCTGGCACACTGAATGTAATTCAGTACACTATGGAATTAATATAGCGTTTAATATAGTCTATGCGGCCAAATATCTACATAAACAGTATGAATTGGTACAGTACATCATTTTTAAAATTAAACTCAATATAAGTGCTCGTTTCAAATGCAGAAAGCAGATGAACTGGCAGTAAATATTACGTTCTTACTTTATATTAATACGACGTACAGGCTTCACAAATGAAGTTTGTATTCCCCATTATATTGTATTATAAAAACACACAATCATCAGTTGAGTCTGTTCACATGCATTTTGTGAGCTAAAATATCTTAGCAGAAGCCAGAAATTATATCAAAATCACATTGGGCTTCCACTCTCGTTGATTTCCATATTCATCACATGAGTAATCTCGACAGAATTAGTAAAAAGTGGGTTTAGTCACACGGAAAGCTCGCAAGTAAAGACAATACAAGGCCAAGTCCTGCCATTTCAAGAGAGCAGGACTTCGCATTTGTAAACAGTCGGTTTAAAGTGCCTATGTCATAGTTTGGGAATTAGTCTATTTAGATAGTTTAGATGATTTTAAGAACTTTTGCAATATATTTTATAATTCGAAAATTTGATCTTCATGGACTTTCAGGGGCTCAAAGTTGGCGATTTTTTGC